GGGGGGGGGGGGGGGGGCACTGTGTTTCGTATTGGCACACCGGTCGGTCTGAGCCCACGGCAGAGTGTGCAACAGTGGCTGTTCCATTTTTGGTAAAACCGGAGTACAGTACCAGAGGTCCACAAGGAAAATTATGGAAAGTGCGAGCGGGCCGGGGGAGCACAGACAAGGTTGGTTGTGGAGATCTTCCCGCTTCGGAGAAGAGAGCAGGGTACATTGATACTTGGTGGTGCAATGCAGCACACCGCATTTACACAACTTCTCTGCGGGAGAGTATCAGCTACCATCTATCTATCTGTCGGTGACGCGCCTCCCGTAAATGGCTATGTACATTTCATGCCAGTGGGTCGATTCCTTGGCACTCACGTGCTCGCGTTGCTAGGGGTCACACCGACGCACTCGGCCACAGTGACTGCCGCCTCACCGTTTTCGCAGCAACAAATCGATGCCACGACTCGCGCACAGCAGTCCAACTGAAGCAGTCTATAGCCTTCGAGAGTAGGTTCATTGTGCTTTCTTCTACAGATTTTTGCAACTACTTATCTCCCCGTGTGGTCTACACACGCTAGTTTGGTCGTCCACACCCCTTGTACAGACGGGATAACACCTGACACTGGACAGTTTATCGTGGAGCCGCGAGCCAGTGCCGCAGAGTGTCACTCTCATCAAATACAGAACCCCACAAGGAGACTCCCCCCCCCGCGCGCGAAAATGTAGCGCCCTTCCCCACCGTCACAAGCCACCAACTCTGGCAACAAAAAGAAAATCTCCCACGTGGGAGGCAGGGACCACGCGCGGCCCGAAAAGAACAAAAAAAAACGGGAATTTGTAACAGGATACATACAAAACCCCACAACAACAAAGGCTAGCCCCCTAACCGGCCGCCTCTCCCCTCACAGACAGAAAACAATCCAACCGCAGACATCGTAGATACCAAAGCAAACGAAGAAACGCCTGCACGAAAAATAATCACAATACACAAAACAGCCGTGCCCCGCTCACGGCCGCCACCCCCAGGATCGACAATCCGGCCTCTCCTTACGAAACCCGCCCTAATATGCATGCCGCGGCCCAGACAACCCACTGCCTCTTGCACTCCCCCACCTATAGCCTTCTAAGCCACGGTAGTGTGATTACTCCCACCACCGCAAGCATCTTTCGCTTCTAGGTTGGCTGCCGCCGTCGCCTCGGGAGAGAGCCTATCCTGCTGGAATCGAACAAACAGCGAGCAGAATCATGCTGACGAGCCGTCCGCTGCCGCGCCGGCCGCCGCCGCCGCCGCCGACCTCGTCGCCGCCTGCGACCTTGATCTCTCGGCCGCACCCGCTCCCACCACCTTGGCGAGCTTCGCCCTGGCCTTGGAGACCACGTTCTTCACCCTCGCCCTGGCTCCCGCTAGCCTTGTCGGCTTTCGTTGGATGACGACACGACGGATGCAAACACAGCAAGGCCCGAGTTTACCCAGAAAGACGAGGCAGCGAGAGAAGAGGTGGCGTGAGGAAATTGTACCACATGACACTGCTGTCAGATTATGAATCAATACGACGATCCACGACAAAAATAAAAATGGAAAAGAAGAGCAGGGAAATCAGATTGCTCGCCTGAGCGTAAGTACCTACGATGTAGTCGAGACACACTTCCGAGAGCGGGAGACATGAAACGAAGCACATGGGAGTGCATCATCACTCGGGGGCGCGCAAAACCGACATGAGCATCACGTATTCATATGCACGATCGCTGCAGGCGAATACAAGGAAGCTTAATCTGTATCCGTCACGCCAAACCACACGACATTGCTGAAAGGGAACAAATGGGGAGGGACGCGCGTACGCACGTCTACACTCAAATCACACACTCAAATCACAACAGTGTGAATCAAATCAAATTCCAACCAGAGCGACCTCTAAACTCGTCGCATGGGCAAGCGTAACCGTCAGGCAATCACCTACCTGCGCTTGCTCTTCCTCGGCGTGCACCTGTTCCTTCCGATCTGCTTCCGAAGAACAACAGGGGGATGACGGAGCAGGAGGGGGGGGAGACACGGGTGGGGTTGCCTCCGCTGTCAAGGCTGCCATCCATGCCGCGTCGTTCGCTAGGCGCTCTGTCCGCTCCTCCTCCGTCTTCCCTTTCTCCGCCTCGATGAACTCGCGAATCGCCTGCACTTCCAGCTCTCTACACAAGTGGCTCTTGGTCCTGAACCATCGCATGAGGGGCTGCGCCACCTGTTTTTTGTCGTCGTCACAATCGTTGCTGTCTTTTAATCTTAATCTTTGTCGTTGTTAATATTTTGTATTTAGTCACAAGTTACACACGGTGGTCATTCATCGTTGACAGCTCCTGCTGTTACTCTTGACAATACAATCATTGTGCTTGTGGTCGTTGGCGATGACTGTAGCGGGGTTGATGGTGTGTTGTACGTATGTAGAGTTGCCGATTTTCGGTGTGCTTCGCGCCCCCCCCCCCCCCA